GAAATTTGCGACATATTTGCAATTTTTGAGCACCACATATTTTTGGAAACACTGGAATATATCAAAAATGATAGGTTGAAAATTTTAAAAATGCAATAACATAATTCGTAATTTTTTTTTTAAATGTCCGGAAGGCTTTCCTGATTATAAAAGTGTAAGATGACACTCGATATTTTTTGTTGATGTTATTGTTTAAACAACGAAAAATTAATTAAGACAGAAAAAATGCATTTTTTGCAATGAATTAATTTTTTTTATATTCTTTAGGATATTTCGAATAAAAAAAGTCCTTACGCCCATCATCGTATCTTCAACCCTTTAATTGTTATGAATTTTTTTTAAATCCAAAATTGACGAAAATGAAAATGAATTAAATAATATACCTTATAATTTAAAATGCTATAATTTTTTATTTTTTACCGAATATTTAAACTATAATAAATAAATTTTCAAAATTTTGTTTGTTGTTATGTTTTTTTACGTTATAACAATATGCTTCCTACGCGCCACGATGTCACGAAAAAGATTGTTCACTAGTATTTTCATTAAACAACAAATTAAATCGCACAGTCACGTTATCGTTTCGAAGAAGAGTTGCATTTTTTAATTTTAAATATGTATCAGGTTTCGGACACTTCACTAACGCCTCGCCATGATCACAAAATAAACACTTTTTGTCGTCAGATAATTTAATTTTTTTTTTGGAATTAAAGAGAACGACATTATTAATCAGAAAATTACACGACTGCAAAGTAAACCAGTAGATGTAGAATCGAGCAAGACTGATTAACAACTGAAAAATAATTTTCAAAACGAGCCAAAAATTCTAAGGTAGGGTTGAATTTTCTATTTGGAAGGTTATAAAAATTGTTTATGACAGGAAAAAAAATAGAAGAAAGTTAAACGTACAATTTTTTCAAAATACGAAATAAATTCCTTTACCTATTTGTATTCATAGTGCAAAAGATTGAAAGTCAAAAAAAATTTCATATTTATAGTACTTACTCTCAATATTAGAAAAAAAAATGTTTTCCTTATTTTTGTTAAATGGAGAAAGGCTTGGATATTTTTGAAATCATAAAATTTTATAACCCCAGTAAGCCTTCTATGTTCATTGTAACAGGTAAAAATTTTTCACGGATCACAAGTGCATTTGGCATTTTTATCGTATTGAAAAAAATAGGTTGAAGAAGATTTTACTTCTCAGGCAGTATCTGACAATAAGTTTTTCATGAATAAAAATAAATGATTCTGTTAACTTTAATAAATAAAAAAGTTATCAAATTGGCAAATGTAACAAAGTGTTATGAAAAATGTTAATAATAATTTTTTTAAACTTATTACCTCTGAAAAACCGCAAAAAATTGATTCAGCGCGTCATCGGACTTTCTCTTACCCATCTTATACATTGAGTTGGAAGTGAGATAGAAGTACTTCTCTCTAAAAGTACACGCGCGTAGGAAGCATATTGTTATAACGTAAAAAAAAACATAACAACAAACAAAATTTTGAAAATTTATTTAGGTTATTTTGATTATTATAGTTTGAATATTCGGTAAAAAATTTAAAATTATAGCATTTTAAATTTTAAGGTATATTATTTAATTCAAGAAAATTAGAATTTTCGTCAATTTCGGATTTTATAACATTCATAACAATTAAAGGGTTAAAGATACGATGATGGGCGTAAGGACTTTTTTTATTCGAAATATCCTAAAGAATATAAAAAAATTAATTCATTGCAAAAAATGCATGTTTTCTGGCTTAATTAATTTTTCGTTGTTCAAACAATAACATCAACAAATATCGAGTGTCATCTTACACTTTTATAATCAGGAAAGCCTTCTGGACATTTAAAAAAAATTACGAATTAAAACAATTTTGCAAATGAATGCGCCACTATGCCCTGCACTAAATACATTGTAGCATTTAAAAAAAAACTAACTCTGATATGTATCACTTTACTAAAGCATTCTGTATAATTGAAATAGATTTTTCTAATACACATCTTGCAGTGTAAACCGGTTCAAAAAAAAAATGTTCTGTTCTACAGACCCCAGGCGTTACCGGTAAATGATTGAATTTTTATATTATGGTTGATCGATGAACAAATCGTTTAATTTTTGATAGGTATCAACAAGTGTTAAAAGTAATTTTAAAAAACCGACTTCAAAATCGTGCAGATGCCATCACCACATCTTAACTAAATTTATATGGGACCACCCCTCAGGTACCCCCTTACTAACAAAAAAAAGAATCATTGAATCGGACACCGTGTTAAAGAATTATCGCTGAACATACATAAAAAAATATATATACGAGTATATATCGACGAATTGAAAACCTCCTCCTTTTTTGAAGTCGGTTAAAAGTTATGAAAAAAAGAACTACTAATTAACGCAGACATAAACAGCATTTATAGTTAAAATATTAAAACTTACAACTTTTAGTACAAATTGTAAAAGTAAACAAATTTGAAAGCTTTTTTTATTAAATTTTAAATGAACTGTTAATAATAAAAAACGTATAGATACTGTAATCACAGAAGTAGTATTTAATTTTTTGTTATTGTTAGATATTCATACTTTTTATGTAGAACTCAAAAATTTCTTCCGCCATCAGCTACCTAACTATAATATTCAAGCAAGTAAATGTCATCTATTTTGTATAGACCTTTTCATCACATTTTTTTTTTGTGCGCATGCGTTAGTATCAGCCATATTTTTCGTACTGTTTTTGTAAACAAGCATGTTAAAATGCCCACGTGAAAAAAATTATAATCGATAAATATTAATTTAAGTATATTCTTTAAAAAAAAAGGAAGAAGAAGCAAAGTAATAATTTTAGTGTCTTAATTGAAAAATACATTTTTGTAATCAATTATAATTATGTTATCTGTATGGAAAGGAATAACGAAATGGTGTTATTATGGAGTATGTAAAATTGACACACGGTATAAATCATTCAAAGGCAATACATAATTATTATTTTATAAATTTCCCAAAGCCTTGGCTGCAATATCGTAAAAAATTATCAAATTATCAGACAAAATCCATATTAAAACATGTTCGGAATGTGCATTAGGTGTGAAAAAATGTGGTCGAAGTGACAATGGTTTTCAATGGATTGATGATGTTACTAAAGATACTTATATTTGTTATTACATTTTCATGGAGAAAGTGGTCCAACAGAAGAAAATTCTTATCTGGTATTAAACAATATTTTTTTAATATTAAATACCACTTCGGTATACACAGTAATATGATTAAAAATCCTCAAAATATTAAATAATTTATTTTATTAATTATACTCGTTATTAGCTTTCATATTAATTAAAGTGTTTTTGCAAGTACTAATAGTTGGTTGGCAAAATTAATTAGAATAGAGTTATAATTATAATTTGTTTTCATTAATTTTGTACACAGTTAAGAAATATTGATATACCTAACCTCTCAAGCAGTCCACTTTTTTTCGTTTGTAGCAAACGTCCAAAACACTTCAACCACCTTTTCAACTGCTCACAACTATGCGCCTCTACAGAGTTTTGAAAAAGTTAATCACCATCAACGATTTTTTCTAATCATTAATTTTTCTGTAGAGATAATGTTGCTCCTTGCCTGCCATTGTCGATCAAAACAGTACGAAACTGAATTACCGCTATTTCAACATCGTGACTGCGCTTGCGCTCATCACATGATGAAAAGGTCTATTCAAAAATTGGTGACATAATATCACTTTAGTGTCACAAAATTACAGATTTGACATATGTTTTAAATAAAACTACAGATAGATATTTCTTGTTTTTTGGAAAAAAAAAATTGCAGATTATAGTCAAAATTCAAAAATATGGATTTTCCAACTTGGAACTATTTTTTTATTGCAGATGTTGAAAACTATCTATTATTTGATGGAAGAGTAGTAATTTCGATTCGCGGATGCTCTTTTGTGTGTTTGTTAAGAATTTGATTTTATTTATCGCAATTTTATTTGTTTTAATGTTTTACATAGGTTTTAAGTATTTTATGAATTATTTATTAAAGACTATTTATGTGATACGAAATATATAGCGCAGTTACTAAAGATATATTTACCAATATTTGTGAGCATATTGCAGAAAAATATGTATTTTAAATCAATAAATATTCCTAAATTTTATGTTGTGTTTATTGCAACAATCAATAGGTACTTGGAGAACTTAGGTTTGTTTGGTAGAAGTAGTGATATTAAGTTTAGAAGCAATAAGGTATATTCTTTGATCTGTGTCAGTTGGCCGGGATGCGAATTTTTTAAAAATTATGTTTTCATGTCAGGCGATATTCAATTCATTTTTTATGTGGTTTCGGTTACGTAATTTTTTAATTATTTTGATATTTGAAATATATAATGTTTGGGGTGGTACATTTCATGACGAAAAACTTTTTTTTTAATGTCGTTTCTCTATAGGTAGGTATACTGCATTTTTCCAAACAACCAAATATATGGTTTTTAATCACTTCAATTTTTAATCATATTTTTCTCGAAAAATACTGGTTTTCTATATTTTTTGCGAAAATTTATTATAAAAACTAGTTATTTTTGGATGTTGACAAATTTTTTGCAAAACTCGCACCTGAACCCGGCGAAAAATTCACTCATGTTCCAAAAAATAAAAAAAAAATTAGGTAAGAAAAAATTGTTATATTTTGACAAAATCCGCATTTTTTTGTAAAGAATTAGACTTACCACATTCAAAATGGTTCTATTTTTTTTTGTGATACTTAAGTGTTATGGACCCCAAAAAATGATAAAATGTCGTATATCTTTAGTTCAATCAATACTCGATTTATCTCTATCGCAATAGTACAAAATTTAAATGGTAAAATTTTAAAAACCTGACATTAAATTATAGCATCTACACACATAATCATTATATTACTTTATTACTTAGTATTTTAACGTTTACGTTGCGTTATAATTATTAAAATTGTTTCACATTTTAATAACAAAAATGTTGTTCTTACCTTATAAAATTTTTAACTGATTTAAACATAAATTATTTCATACTATCTAAGCCTTTCTTTTAAAAAAATCCTAAATTGAAACCAGTTTAATCCAGATAAAAAAATTAAAAATGCCGTTTTTTATAAATTTCAGATATTTTAAATCTATTTATAATATGTATGTATATACAACCAGTGAAGTACAAATTATTTTTGAAAGAGGATTAAAGTAGATTTTTATGAAATTTAAAACTTAAAAAATATTTTACGGTATACAGTTTTCAATAATAGCCATGCCGGGGGTGAGTTAGCTCAGTGGTTAGAGCAGAGGTTCCCAAACTTTTTTGTTTCATAGACCACTTTCAAAATTTTGCTGGATCCGGTGGACATCACTACCAATTTCTAAATCTCGAAAAAAAAAAATTGAAGATTAGATCTATCTATGGAAACTTGCGTTGTGGCTGAGTTTTAACGACGAATTAACAGTTTTCGAAAAAAAAAAAGTTAGAATTGATTGATTGATAGGGTTAATTATTTGATAATAAAGTCGACTAAACAAATTTTCAATCAAATTTTAACTGATTGTGTTGTGAGTGGATGTCAAAAAAGCAAAGTTGGCCAAACGAAAAAGTGACTCCATCCAACTTTACTTTTTTGAAATCTACAGTGACTCGCAGCACAAGAACCAATCAATTCTCACAAATTTGTGTTGTAGGTATTTATTTAAATTTAAATATATAAATTATTACACTATTAATTATTATTGTTATAACCGTCGTAATATAATTAGAATTAAACATTTATAACGTAATGTAATTTCTACAATGGTAATTACAAAAAAAAAATATAATTTTAATGAGAGGGATGTACTTGACGGATTGACAGCAAATTATCAATATTTGGCTTGAGTTTTGTCAGGAATAACCGTAAATCTCCCCTTTCTATGATATTCAATCTGCTCCTTTTTTTTTGTTAATAAGTTTGTAACGGCACTAAAACTTTTTTCGACGAGATATGACGAGGGAAACGCTATCAGAAGCTTTTGCACAATTCCCCACACTCCAGTATATTTTTCGGGTATTTCTGCCTGCAGCCAAAATTTTTGATACCCTCTTTTAAATGTCACTTTCAGCTCCTCATTAGTGCTAAGCTCGAGTAGCTCTTCTTGTAATATGACATTCTCCACTTCCGTTTCATCAAATGGATTTATGATCGATCTATGGTGGTATTTCCATCGACAGAATATCTTCAAATCTGAATTTAAAATCATCATGCAGGGCAATCAAATGTTGGACGTATGTCTGAATATCTTCATCAAGGCATTCTACCTGCGACAAGTTTGAAAACTGAAAATTCGCGCCGACCAATATTTTCCTTCATAAATTTCAATTTATCAAGAAAAGCTGAAATTACACTCTTTGTTTTTATTAAATTCCAGAAACAAATGAGTAACGATTATCCTTGACATTCTTATTTATATTGGTGGAGAATCAAATACATTCATGCAAGATTGCAAGCACATACACTACAAGTCGTATTAATTTGCACGTCTAAACAAGCGTTGCGGACGGGACGGCGGCCGGCGCGGCAACAAGTCTCGACGCGTTGTACTGAATATGGAATATGCAAGTTTTTACAAGTAACAGTCGCTGAGCTTCTTAAAATATTATCTACTTATATTGATAAGATAAGTCAAGTCAACATTTTAGTAACTGTAGGAACATCACTGTTAATTAGAACCCAACAGTGAATGGTTGAGTGGGGAATCCCACCGATGCATTAATATTTCATTTATTAAAATAAACAAAAATTCCTGCCACCGGCGAGATTTTAGGAACTAAAATGTTGACTGTTTATATTATAAACAAATGAAGTTTTTTACCAGAATTTCTTCATCGCATGGAAAAATGAGTAATCAATTGTTAAATAGTATATTGCTTCACTATCGAAACCAAATTAATTTTCATGCACCCCATTTTTTATTACGCCCAACGTAGACCCCCGTCGAGTCTCCCGTGGACCCCTGGGGGTCCACCTGGACCACTTTGGGAAATACTGGGTTAGAGTTTGAGATCGAAAGGCCTCAGGATCGAATCCCGCCGGTGGCAGGAATTTTTGTTTATTTTAATAAATGAAATATTAATGCATCGGTGGGATTCCCCACTCAACCATTCACTGTTGGGTTCTAATTAACAGTGATGTTCCTACACTGGCGCTGGGAAACAAAAACAAAGCCTACACAGAACACAAGGCTAATAACAATTAGCAGTTGATTCCGATGACACCAAATTAAAAAAAAATAGCCATGCCTAAGACCAATTTAGCAAAAGTAAAATGCAATAACTCTAAAACAATACCACTGACGTACTTGACAGAACTGATCATTAAGTTATCATAAAAAACACTAAAAAGCCATTTCCATTCAATAGCCAGTATAAATAAAGATTTAGTAAAAGCTTTAACTTAAATTTTCAAAGCAAAAGCTTAGTTTGCAGTGAATAAAAAAATAAGTATTAGTTTTTACTAAAAAAGCACTTAGTAAAAGCTATAGTTTTTAGCATTGTCTAAAAATGGTGTGAATAAAAGTAATCAATTACTTAATATATAAAGCAAAAGCTTACCTTTTCGCAAGTTTGGTAAACTCTGGCTTAAAAATTTAGTGGTGTTGAAAAGTTTGGTAGAAATGACTGCATTTGTGAAAAAAAAATATTAATATTTTTATATTTGATATACATTTTTATAGATTTGTAACCATAAAATAATATACGAAAACAATATATGCATTTATTAACAAATTGCTATACAAGTTATAATTTGTTTCCCACTTTCTTTTTTATTTTTTCCAACGATAATTTTTCCTTTTCTTTTTGTACCCTTATAAGTTATAGCTGTTCTGAGGTCGATAAATTTGAGGTTTCTTCTGTTTCATTAAATGTATTCTTATTAGCAACCGAGGACTTGTCTGATAAAGGCCGAACATGCGGTGGAATAGGTACTTCTATTATAGAAATTGCAGCAAAACGCTAATGTGCAATGTATTTGGCTAGCAAAAAAGACAATTTGCTTCACTTACAGATTCAGCAAATAAAGGTTTTGTTTATGTGTAACTCATTTTTTTTTATTTGCAGCCAACTTATTTTTCTTACCTAGTACTTTCTGAAAGACTGGGTTTTCTTTTTCTTCCGTCAGAAGTTGCTTCTCCAACATGTTTAGAATAATTTTGTATTTCCAGTTGCATTCTTATCAGTCTTTTTCTTGAACTGAGTCTTCATATTTTGAATTTTCTTTTTCAACTGTTTTTCACTTATTCGTAAGATTGAACTACACCAACGGACACTAAACCTTTCGTTAGGCCCGGTGTAAAACCCACTATACCTTCCTGTTGACGATATGGTGTCCACTGGTGGATATTTTCTCCACCAGCTATTTAGCAGGAGTAAATTACACTCGACATGTGCATAAAGAATAAGGAGGAAGTAAATTTAGGGTAAATAAGGTGGTGTAACTGGTGTAATTTACACTGGTGGACACTGCACCAGCAGCGACCGAAAGAACCTATCAATGCTTTATATTTTCTAATATTTGTAGAATGTATTTCTGATGGATTTTTTGTTTGCATGTTTTTTTCTTTAATTTTAGGCACTTGTGATTTATTGAAATACTCAGTTTGAGGTTGCTGAAAATTTTTAAGGAATTTCCTTCATCCACGAATCGCTTAAGAAATATTTTTCTGAATCGCCACTTATTTTGGTAGAGCATGCGCTACCGATACTGATTTAAAGTAAATTTTATTTGAAATAATTTGAAGATATTGCCAGGTTGCTGTAACCTTCCGCCTAGTATCCAGGTTTCAGCAAAAACCGTCCCTTATTTTTTTTTAATTGGGTGTCATCGGCGTCGACTGCTAAGGTGATTAGCCTCGTGTTTTGTGTAGGCTTTGTTACTGTTTCCCAGCGCCACTTTAGGAACAGCACTGTTAATTAGAACCCAACAGTGAATGTCGAGTGGGGAATCCTACCAAGGCATCAGAATTAATTATTCTTCGCATCTCCGTTCTTCTATGATAGATATGGTAGGTTTCATATTCCAAGTAATTCACGCACTGTGTTAAAAGTAAATAATTTTTTGTCGTATCGGCTAATCCTTTGTCTCTGGGAGCGACTATCGAACAGTTCATTTTTAAGTGCCTTCACGTGCAGTGTACAAAATTTAATTGTGAGTTAAACGAAGTAAAAATGCCAAATAATCGAAAAAGAAAAGCGATAAAAGAGTTGTTGCGAATGAAAAAGAAGTTTGCGAGACTCGAAAGGGAATTAACGGATAAAAATTCAACATCTTCCGATTCGGATAGTTCACAGGGTAAGTTATATCTTAAACTTTACAATTTTTTAGTGTGCTACGCCTTTTTATGTATTGAAATATTGCTATTTGTATACAGGGTGTAGTTGTTTTGACTACGATGCCCGCAAACACTTGTTTGCTATCAAATAAAGCAGAATTTTGTTGATTTGCTTTAACTGGAAACATTTTTTGTATACTATTATTATATATAGGGTGTGGTTTGTTTTGACTACGATGCCCACAAACACTTGTTTGCTATCAAATAAAGCAGAATTTTGTTTTGTGTTGCTCTAACCGGAAACATTTCTTGTATACTATTAATATATAATAGGGTGTAGTTTGTTTTGACTACGATGCCCGCAAACATTTGTTTGCTATCAAATAAAGCAGAATTTTGTTGTTTTGTTTTGCTTCAACCGGAAACATTTCTTGTATACTATTAATATATATATAGGGTGTAGTTTGTTTTGACTACGATGCCCGCAAACATTTGTTTGCTATTTGTATACAGGGGTAGTTTGTTTTGACTACGATGTTCGCAAAAACGCTTGCTTGCTCTTAAATAATGCAGAATGTCATTGTTTTGTTTTTCCGGAAAACCCTTTTTATGTAGTTTATTTTGGTGACATAATTTAAAAAAAAAAAAAAAAAACACTATTATTCGAGTGTATTTATTTTCAGAGTCCCTCCATACCTCTGGCAGAGATTCTTTCTCCAGAGAAAATGAGGAAATCGG